CAGCTCAGACTCATACTGATCCTCCTGTCTCAGCCTCCTCAGCACTGGTAATACAGGCATGCACCACCACGCCAGGTTCCAGTGGCTGGCATGGTGCACCTGGGGTTCTGGGGCCAGCACGGCATGTGATACCAGGGATCGAACCTGGGTCGGTCCTTGCGCTTGCCAGGCAGGTGCTTAGACCACATCACTGTCTCCCCAGCCCTATTTAGTACTTGTAAATACTTTTCTAAGGGGTGAATACATTTTACATGAATTTTTAAAATAACATGTAGATGTTAAGTTTAAAGCACCAATTATTAAGTAAAACATGAAAACACTACAGATCTTACAATTATTTTTTATAAGTCTTGTAAACTCTCCTAACCAACATGAATTTTAACTTTAAAATTACAGTTTTGAGTATCTTTGAAATTTAAAGCAAAATATTATATTCTCTCTTTTTAACATTGTGTCCCCTAAGGCCATTTATAGTATTTATATTTGTCTTCAGTTACAAAAATGTGACAATTGTATGCCTACAAAATATCTTTAAATCAGAACTCTACTAAGGCTGAGAATCATGAAACACAGTCAAGAAAACTAAGTCTAGCTCCTTTCCTGTGCCCATGGCTCCACATGGAGGGGATTTTACAATTTATGACAAATGACTTGAGGACAGACTTGTGTAGAGTAAAGCCTTACAGAGGATGCTGAAGACAGTTCTAAATTGATTTATTTGCTCTGTAGTTAATCACTGAATGATACTTTGTGTTCAGCAGCATCCTAGGCACTATATACATAAATATATATAATACATATATGATATCGTCCTTATATGAGTCAACTGTTATGTTTATCTTCTGAGAGCTTATAATCTAGTCAGGAGCGTATTTAGAGTTGGGAGTCCAGAATGGTATGGGGGAACTGGCATAAGAGTAGTGGAGACAGTACATCTGCAGTGTATAGAAGTATTAGGAGAGATCAAGCCTGAAGTATCCATGACATATTTATGAAGGAAAAAAAGGCTTTGTGTTTAGCATTTAGGTAAGATTTGGGGAGGGGAAGGTGGTAAAGAGCATTTCAGATGACAGACAATAGTTCACTGGCCTTAGCAAATACTTGAATAAAAAACTACGTACAGGGACTGGTGAGATGGCTCAGTGGTCTAAAGCGCCTACTTAGAACAAGCTTAGCAAAGCACAGGGACCGCAGTTCAATCCCCCAGCACCACATGCCAGCCAGCCCCGCCCCCTGGTGGGCTGAGCTGGCCACATACACACACACACACACACACACATACACACATAAATAAATAAAATTTAAAAAGAAAAACTACGTACAAGGCCTATGCAGGAAAAATGAGTCACATGTTAGTCCTCTTCATGTTGTTAAAAGTACTTGAGGCCTGGCATTGCAGACAAAACCGAGGCTTATTTAGTTTACATTTTGGGAGCTTGCAGCCAGTCTTGGTGGACGCCCTTGTGTGGCCTCAGGTGAAGGCCTCCCTGCTGCTTCATCATGTGGGGAGTGGCATGTGGTGGGGACCTGCCTGAGAGTGAGCACCCACAGGGGAGACAGGGAATCAGAGGGGTCCAGGCCCCATAACAGCCTGCCCTCCTAAGAAGTGAGCTCCTCTACAAGGTCAGCTTCCCTAACTCCCTGGGGTGATGCCCCATGACCTCGTTACCCTACGGGGGCCCTTAAAGGTCCTTCCTTTTAATGGTTACACCTCCTCAATGTCACCCTGCTAGGGACTGGGTTGCCAGAGTGTGAACCTTCAGGGACACTCTCAAACCACATCCAAACCATAGCAGTAGGTTTCCTTGGCTGGAGCTGAGAGTTTATGACTATTCAGTAGCAGTGCACAGGGCTGGAAAGGTAGACTGCGACCAAGTCATGGAGGGGCTGACTGTAGAAGTGAGAACACAGGCTTCATTGCATGCACTGTAGTGGCCCTAGGAAGGGTTTTTCAGAGGAAGGGGTATTATTAAGCATTAGTATAGGAATATCAATCTATCTAGCACTGGCATGAAATACAGGTTTCAATCTGCATTTTTTAATTGATGGAGGGAACATTACAAATCATAGCCAGCAACCCAGAAACGACACGTGTGCCCTCCAGTCTCTGAGGGCGGGAGCTACCTTTGGAGATAAAGCAAAGCCTTCTCAGAGTATCCAGACCCTGGGGACCAAATACAGTGCTTCATCTTCTTGATGCCACAGTAGGAAAAGCTCGTCCTGGGAGCATATCTACTCCTCTGATCATTTTTACTCCTTATAGATGGTGCGAGTATGTGGCTGTTTGGCAGTGATCCCTGGGAAGTTACAGGCTTAGAAAAGAACTTTCTCGCTTTATTGTACTTGCAGACACCACACATTCAGAATCGCCCTTAAAGTCATGATTGTGGGATTCGTGGCTCAATATGTCCCTTTTCTCCACAATGTGGCAGTGGGAGAGATTGTTCATAGTGGGGTCAGGTGGGAGGAGGAGGAGCTTGCAAAGGGATGAGGAGACTGGGGGCTGTGGGTGTGCTCATTATCTTAATCAGCTCAATGTTTCCCTAAGAGTATCAAGTGATGCACTTGAAGTATGTCCAGATTGTCACACATGAATTATGCACAAATAAGAGTTAAAAATAAAATTAAGAACTATAATGCGATGCTTCATGAGTTACACAAGTATAACTCATTTGGCCAGAGTTGTTTCATTATTTATTTATTAAATATGTTTGGGGGCTGGTGAGATGGCTCAGTGGTCTAAAGCACCTACTTAGAACAAGCTTAGCAAAGCACAGGGACCTGGTTCAATCCCCCAGCCCCACATGGCCACACACACACACACACACACACACACACACACACAATAAATAAATAAAATAAACTTTAAAAAAAAGTAGTTAAATATATTTGGACCAAAAGAATTATGAACATACTCTCTAAAAACATGTCAAATGGACATCTTTCTTTCTTTCTTTCTTTCTTTCTTTCTTTCTTTCTTTCTTTCTTTCTTTCCTTCTATTTTATGTATTTAGTACAGGGTCTACAGGGTCTCACTACACAGATTGGAGTTGTAGTGATCCTTCCTGTTTTCCAGCCTCCCAAGCGCTGGGATTACAGGTGTGCACCACCATACCGAGTCTCAGTCGCAGTCCCAGTGTGCCCCTGGGGTCGGAGCCAGCACGGTAGGCTGGGGATCAAACACTGACCCCTGTGTCTGCCTAAGCAGCCTCCTTAATCCGATGAGCTATGGCCAGCTCCAAATGGGCATATTGAGTATTTTAAGCTGAAATCTCTTGAAGAGCTATAACCACAGAAAGGGCCATGTGATTTGCCTTTGCTTCCTTATAGAAAGATCCTTGTGCAAGGGCTAGCCCTCACATACCAAGTCAGAAAACAGCCTTGATGGTTGGAGATTCCTAATAGGGCCTGCAGTGAACCTGAATAAACAGAATCTTTGAAATGACCCTTATCTTCCCTTAGTTTCTGTATCAGCTACACACACACACACACACACACACACACACACACACACACCTCTCTTACTGACATTCCTAGAATTTACTACCCGAGTCCAGGGGTCTATTTTTCCTTATTCCTTCATAAAACTATTGCTCTTTGTTTAAAATGTATGAAAGTGTAAGTTATCACTCAAGTTTAGAAGCATCATTTCAGAATTCCTTTTTGTGACAATCTACATGGACATGAAAAATGGATAAATTTTTGTGCGTTTCGCTTATGAACCATCTCATGTATTAATTGGCTTCCTCAAGGTGGCCAAAAAGCCCTGAGACTTAAGTGGGGGTGAGGAGTGCAAGGGTGTCAGTGGCCTGCAGACACATTGTATAGGGCTTAGTGCTAGGTGCTGAGGGCTTAACTATGTGAGCTGTTGTTTCTTTAGAAACTCAGGTTCTAGAAGTTCTTGACGCTTTGAGAGAGCACTGTATTACTTTGTAGAATGTGATGCATTTCATGTCCTGTAGAGTTTAGGATTACGGGTGTTAGATTTATTTGAGAAAATTGGAGAGAGCCCCAGGGAAAAGTAGCTCTCAGTAGGAAGTTACATTTAAGAAGCAGATAAAATATGCATTCATTTTTCTCAGTTTTGTTAGAATACTCTTATAAAACAGAAAAATCAATACTTTATTGAGGAAATCAAGCTGTCTTTCAACGGAACATATTTGTTTTTATTTTTCATTATCTACACAGTCATCGTTTCTTACACTAAGCTAAGCTGTTTATTCCTTTTTTTTTAAGGGCAGAGGAACCTAACATACCTCAGTTTTTATGACCAGGAGAATTTCCTTGTAGAGACAAGCAAAGGAGAAATTGGCAGGCCACACACTGGCTGATAAAGTTTCTCCTCAGGAGTAGTCTTCATTTTTACAGATCATATTTGGTACATGAAGCAAGTCATGTGACTTTGCTAAAATTCAAGTGGGTGAAGTGTCACCCTAATCCCACACCTAGAGAAGCAAACCCAAATGCTTGTGACTGCTCAAGGAGAGCCTGATTCTAGAAACACAAAGTGCTGATGTCCTTCCTAGGGGAACCTACCAAGTTACTTCCAGCCTCTATTAGCTTCTTATTACTTTCTCTTCTCTTTTCCATTCTCTAAGGAATAAAAGCTGGGAATTAAAAAGAAGAAGAAGAAAAATAGCCTAAAACGTTTGGTGTGAGAAGTCCATTGAATTAGAGTGGATGCCTATGGAGGTAAGGGGAGAAATCCAACGCCTTAAATTCAGAGGAAATTACTGGCTCTTGGAGTCACTCTGGGACAGCAAGAATCCCCAGCCTCAGAAACAGAAGCGAAGTGTCTGTGCAGACATGACTCTTCCCTCTCCATTTATCTCTCTGCTTGCTCTGTCTGTCTTCATTCACTCTACCTAGCATAGCCCTTTCCCATATGGTAAGAAAGACGTTGTCAGTAGCTTGACTTTGACATCTTCCCAGCTCTGTGATGCTGGAGGCTGGGCTACCTCTTGATGAGCTCCAGGCAGAGGCAACTCAGGATGGGCTCTGCTGGACTCAGCTTCAGTGGCGAGGTCACTTCTGAGCCATGACTGTGTGCAGAGTCATGTGATACAGCAAATGGCCAGGACAAGGTCACTTGCCCATTCCAGGGAGGATAAGGTGCAAATTATCAGAAGAAGGGAGGTGATGAACTAATTCAGAACAATAAAGACAATATCTGTTCTAGTTTACTTAGGGCTGGATGTACCTAGAGTGAGCTTTGAAATGAAACTCTAGTCATGTGCTCTTTCCACTCTATTTAAAGCCACCTGCCATGGCATTTATGGTAAAATGTGAATTAGTTCTAATTTATCTGTGTATTACTTCATATGACTTCTCCCTTTTAAAGCATTTTCCCTTTTCTCATGACTCATTGAGGCAGTTAGCACAAGATCTTTCACTGCCCAAGCATGTGTCAGCTGAAGGACATTGAAACTGGACGTTCACTCCCATCTTCATATGTCTGACATTGTTATCTCTCTCCTCTCTTCTTCTGTCTTCTCCTCTCCTCTCTTCTCCTCACCTTTCCTCCCCTTCCTCCTCCCCCCTCTCTCCTCCTTCCTCCCCTTCCCTGTCATGCTCCCCTCCCCTCCCCTTCCCCTCCTCTCTCTGTCTCTCTGTCTCTCTGTCTGTCTCTCTCTCTGTCTCTCACATACACACAAACACACGCACACAAGATTCGTTTTTACCATTGGGATACACTTCTCCATGTTTTGCTCTGGCTTCTGTATGTGCATATGAATGTATCAGCTTTTGTTCTGAACTGTCTTTTCAAGGATGTTTGGCTAACAAACAACCTTAAAAAATAGTAGAAATTGTGTCTCTTTCAGGTAGTAGAGTTGCTCTTTCAGTCTATGACAGTAATATGTCTCTCTTCCAAGCAAGGATAGGTTGACTAGGGCTCCTCCTCACCCGTGGTACAAATCCACTGTGTGCAGCTTTACTGCTGGGGCCTGTCTCTGCATTATCTTCAAGTGACTGGAGGCCAGGAGGAACTGATGCAAGCTTGCTGCGTATGCTACTTGCTGTTCTGTGAGTATTAGAATCTCCTACCCTTGCTCGGGAGATAGCTCAAGGGCATAAGTGCCTGCCTGGCAAGCCCAAGGTCCCGAGTTCAATCCCCAGTACTGCTGCAACAACCAAAAGTCCATAGAATCTCCTATCCCTAACCTCAGAGTCTTGTACCTTCTTTAGCACCTGTGAAACCACAGCAGGCTCTTTAGTTAGCCTGCAAGCAGGGTAAGGTCTCAGATGTTTGGAGGTTCTTAACAGAGGTATAGTTTATTTCCAGTAAATACTTACCCTTTTTAGGTTTAAAATCAGGTTGGGGATATAGCTTAGTGGCTGAGGGCTTGCCTTGTATGCAGAAGGCTTTGATCCAGTCGCCAGCACTAGAAAACAAAGTTGTAAAACCACACCCACAATCAAAGTATGCAGTATTTATATCATCCTGAAAACTCCATTCTTTTCCCCTTTGCTGTTAGTTGTCTCCCTGCTTCAATCGCAGGCAGGCACTGATCAGAATTCTGTAAACCTTAGACTTGCTAGTTTACCCTTATAATTATAAAAAGAATTTTAAAAATTTCTCAAAGTTGAAAACTATAAACAGGAAAAGGGCCTGAGCACTGCAGAGTGAGCAGGATGTCACCATGTCACCATGGCAGTAGACAGGAGGGGGAGCACAGATGGGGCTGTGTTGGAGTCAGAACAGACAGGATGTGTGAATGACAGGTCACGTAGAAAGTCCAGGAAGTGGGGGAAATGTCAAGTCATGTGATTCTGAATAAGCCTGTTGGAGACTTCTGGGGTGGGCGTCAGTGATACATTAAAAATAATACTAAAAAAAAAAAATAAAAAAATTCAGTCATGACCCTTTTCTGCAGGTTTTTTTGAACTTCCGTAATGTGCTGGTTTGCGCTTTGGAATCAAAGGAGGCGCGCTACCTGTAGCTCTGACAGCTGACTCTATATGGAATGTTCTATGTGTCTGGAATTTGACAGCACAGATTAGAAAGCCCAGCCAAACTAATTTCCCTAATTTGTTTCACTTAGAATCCTGTGCTTCTGTTTTACTATTAGTCTTACTATCTTAGTAATACTACCAAATCTCCAAAGATTTAACTTACAAAGTAAACCTAAAATTCAGATGGAAAGTATTGTAGAAACTTTGAATCCATGGAGTTTCAAAGCTGTCGTATTGGATATTCCAGCTCTGTGAGTCAATAATTATGGTCAGCAGTTTATTTCACAGCAGCTAAATTAACTGTAAAATACAATACAAACAGGACAGGTTCATACTGATCACTTGTCTTGAAAACAGCTGTCTGTTATGAGTTCTTATTTATAGTAAAGTCTAAAAAAACTTCAGGAAAAACTAAGAGGAAGGTGTCCAAACAGTACTGTTCATATCCTACAGTTTCTGAGCTTAAATTGGAGACATTTCAAAAATGCGTATTGGAAGAAATCAGGTTTCTGAGAGTTGCTGCTTGACATTGGCAAATACATGCTAGGCCCACACGGAGAAGGACCCATGCAAGTTCAAGGCTAGCCTGGGCTACAAAGTAAGTGTAAGACCTGTCTGAGCTGCATAGCAATACCCTGTCTCAAAAAGACCAAAAAAAAAAAAAAATCAAGCTGTAAATAAAATTTAGAGGCAGCCGGATAGCTCAGTGGACTAAAGCACCTGCTTAAGAGCTACAGGGACTGGAGTTTGATTCCCTACATGCCGTGCCAGCCCTGCCCCTGGGGCACTGTGAGATGGTGATTGAGACCGGGCATGGTGGCACATTCCTGTAATCGCAGCACTTGGGAGGCTGAAAACAGGAGAATCATTATGAGTCTGATCTGTGTAGTGAAACCCTGCAGACCTTGTACTAAATATTAAAATAAATAAATAATAAAGTAAAATAAAATTTATATCTTCCAGGAGTCTTCAAATTGTATTTTCTGTTTGATTCTTTGGGAGCAGGATAAATTAAATAACATTAAATTTGAATATACTGGATTTTGACTTTTAAAAAAGCATCAGTTTAAGAGTTTGGGTGTTTCTCATTGGTAGTCAACTAAAGTCACTTGTTAAATTCCATCCTAAGGTGTCATAAAATCTGGTAATAAGATTTGTTAGACCTCACACATTAAATCATACCTTGGTAGGAGTTTGTTCTAGGACATTTTGTAAGGAATATGGACATATAGGGCCAGGAGATCAAGAACAATCTACTATTGCTTTTAAGAATAAATTCTGAAAATCTCCATGCAGTGGTAGGAATTTTGGAATTACAGTATACTCATTTGATAACAATTACAAGGAACAATTGTTTGGAACAAGAATCGACAGTGGATGCTCAAACTGGTGAATGTGCAAGAGAAACATAGTATTTGCATAACCTTAAATATCTTTCCGTAAGATATTTCTCCACAACACAAGGAAGAGAAGCTACAGTGAAGTATCTTGGTAGATGCTATCTTACACAAGTGCTTCCTACCTCCAGGGTGGAGGTAGTGATAGAAAGAAAGAGGCTGTCCAGGGTCAGTGTTCCCTGCTCTACACTGACCTCCCCTCCACACTCCCAAGAGGGACAGCAGTCGCTTCTTGCTCCTTTTGTACTCAGTGTTAAGAATCCTTTCTGCTCATAGATACTTGTCTGCCTCTCTGTTGTGGGCCTGCTGAGTCCTAAGTGTGAGAGATCCAACATCAACTAAAGCAATTTCCTGGGGCTTTCTGGGGGTGTCAGGAGCCAATTAATACAGCAATTGCAGAACTTGGTGGTCTGTAGAGGCAGGTGTGGGATGCAGTAGCACACAGGAAGGTGCTGGGCTTCCTAACAGGCACCAGCAGAGACAGCCAAGTAGGTTTGTAAGTTATTGACAGTACTTTCATGATTTCAGTTAAAAAAAAAAAAAAACATTCTGAACCCCTGACCACTGCTCTAGGAGATCCCTCGCTCACATGATCCAGTAGAAGAAAGGATTAATTCCTGAACAGCAGGGGCCGCCAGGATCTACTCTTGTACTTTTCTTTTATTTTTTTTTCCATAATTTTATTGAGAAACAAATAGCAATGAGACAGTTTCAAACCAAATTGGTAGGACAGTTTCAATAATTAACACATTGCATACATTCTTCCTAGTGGTTAATTGCTGTACAAGATGCGGATGATATCTTATTTACAAACCCCATTAGAACAAATCCCTCTATTGATTAAGAGAATGTAACTATATATCTATCCTACCCACTTTGAATACACAGATACCAAATGGACATTCATCTGTATCCCCTTTTTTGTTAAGTTTCATCATTTAAATATTGTACTTTTCTCATTCCTTTCTTTTTTAAAATGTTTAAAAATCATTTATTTATTTACTTATTTATTTGGTACAGGGTCTTGCTACACAGCTCAGATTCATAATGATCCTGGGGATTATAGGCATGTGCCATGAAGTAATGGGGATCAAACCTGGGTCCTTGCACTTGCCAGGCAGGCACTTAGACCTCCAAGCTGTCTCCCCAGCCCTCTCATTCCTTTCTGATTGCCGTAGCCCAGCATGGAAGTTCAGGAACACCTTCCTGGAGTAGGTGATACCCACACCAAGAGTGACTAGAAGTTAGGTATATCACAGTATGTTCAGGCCCCTGGGTGATAGGGAGTGTGTCACATCTGAGAAATCCTGGATCACTGAGTATTGAAGAACTTTGAGAACAGGCTTCATATGAACAACAAAAACTTGATTGGACAAGCTGTAAAATGACTTTGAAAATGACCAAGATAGGAAACAGCACATTAAGGTTTATATTTCAGAGTATGGCATATTTAAGGAGAAAGAATTGAAGAACCAGAAAAGTTGTTTGTAGGCACTTGAAATAGTTCAAATAAGAAATCAGTCCCTTTCTTAAAATAGAAGAGGTAGTGGATGCAGAGAAATGGTTGGAATCCAAAGATATTAAAAAGGTTGAACTCACTGGGCTTCTTGATCATGTGATGAGCTACCAATTATAAAATCTTTAAAATCTATTCTGCACCCAATAAAATGGTCTTACCCAAAGTAAACCATTTGATAAGAATGTTGGCCATGCTTCCAAAATTAAGAATTTATCTTGCACAGAAATAAGATGAAAACTATGCATTTATTAGTCTTTGGCCAACTAGGGTGAGGTTTTTTATTATTTTATTGAGAAAAAAATTGCAATGAGACAGTTTCAAAACAGGTTGGTAGGAGAGTTACAACAATCAATACATTGCATATTGTTGTCTTTGTAGTAGTCATTCATAGCACAAGATGCAGACATGATATCCTGTCCAAACACTATTAGTACAAATCTTTCTTCTTATTGAATTAAGAGAAAGTGGCTATATATCTATCCTAACTATTTTGTATATACAGATACAAAATTGTCCTCATTTATATCTCCTTTTTTTGTTTAGTTTTGTCAGAGATGGGTATTCCCTTGCCATTTAAATATTGTAGGTGCATGAATTCAGCAAAATAGGGTGAGATTATACTGAAGGTTTCATTGCAGTGTTAAGATAATATAAGAATAGCACACTTTTGCAGTCGCAAGTGCTGATGGTAAGCCTGACTCCTGTGCAGCTATCCCCCGTGCATAGCCTGATCTTCCTGCCTTGGGCCGACCTGCCTTTCCCAGGATGGATCCCGAAGCTGCCCGGCTGGAGAAGCAGCACGTGCATGACGTGTACAAGAGCACTGCTCCATACTTCAGCGACCTGCAGAGCAAGGCCTGGCCTCGAGTCCGCCAGTTCCTCCAGGACCAGAAGCCCGGCAGCCTCATCGCCGACATCGGTAACCTAGGCTTGTGCTATCTAGTGTGAAATAAGTTCCACTGTACATGTCCTTTGCAGATATATATATATATATATATATATATATATATATATATCAAGAAGCCTGAAATTGTGTCCATGAAATGCCAGTCTTCAGATCATTCACTTTACTGCAGAAAGTTTTATTTTCAAGTCACCAAGCACAAAATATCCTCAAACTTATGTGTAAACAGCAGCATCTTCAGGGGCCTTGGTGGTTTTATGCCTCTGTAAAAGAGCTACAATTGTGGGGTTATGGAAAAATTCTTATACTCTCTTAATAATGTAACAGATCCTTTACCTTATTTATTCTTTAGGTATTCTATTATTAGAACATATCTTTTATCACTATTTCATCTGGAGAGCTTTTGCCCAGTATCTTTCTGAATTAAGATGTATTAAATCACATCTCAGTATATCTAAGACTAGTATTTAAAATGTGGTCAGCTTCCCGCTTGGAGCACGCCAACCAAAACTACTTTCATGCAATTATATGCTGACTGTGCCCATGAGAATCTGAAGTCTATAGTTAGATACTCGTAGCCTAGTTTGACATCACTCACTGCTGGTAAGAGAAACAGACAGACACGTAGAGCTTCTGGCTTTGTAAAATAAGGAGTGAACCATGTAGCGACTGGTGCATGTTCACTTTCAATTTAGGAGTCTTGGAGAAAATCTGTCATGGTGATATATTTTTTTTTAAATCTGGTTTCAGAAATTGGGGCTCTAGTTCATTGCTTTGCAAGTGCGAGGCACTGAGCTCTGCCCCCGAGCCACAGGAGGGTAAGACAAAAGCTGATTTTAGAGATACAAAGTATCTGGATCTTAAAATTAGTGAGGAGAAAAAGAACTATTCAATAAATGGTCTTGGGAGAACATAACAGGACAGTAAGAGCTACTTCTTCAAAGCTTACTCCAAGGTGAATTCCAAGTGGAGCAAATATGGAAGTGTAGGGAAATGAAAATATTCAAGGACTAGATGACAGTTAAGATTGTTTTATCCAGGCATGGTGGTGCATGCCTTAATCCCAGCACTTGGGAGGCTGAGGCAGGAGGATCACTGTGAGTTCAAAGGCAGTCTAGGCTACGAAATGAATTCAAGGCCAGCCTGAACTATATATTTATCTAGATTTATTTTGCAATCTAAAATAATATACGTACTATTTTTAAAAAGCAGAGGGCTTCTCTGTGCATATGACAAACATGTGGGTACACACATGCCAAACATTCACAAAAGAAAACAATTGACTGTAATTATTGATACTTATTGTTAGGTTAATTTGTGACCTGAAGATGACCAATTAAGGCCGATAAATTCATTAGCACCTCAAGTAGAGCAGCGTGAGCAGGGCGTAGGCAGGACAAGTGGGCAGCAACTTTGAAACCTGGCTTGGCTGGAAGGAGGAGGTCAGCTGGTTTGAAGCGCAGAATACAAGTTAGCCTGCTGCACTGGGTTAGGCGGGTGCTTTAAACTAAAATGGGTTCTAAGAAGTTGACATAAACGCTGAATTAGTGAATCATTATCCCAATAGGAAGGCCAAGAAGGTTTCTCCTAAGCCTTTGGACACAAAATCCTTTTGTCGATTTGTTAGTGCATAACCTTAGTTGTTGTATTTCTGTTTAAAGAATCTTAGTTACTACCATGTGAGAGGACCCGTGGAGGGCAGGGGACAGGCAACATCACCAGATGTTGTGAAGGAACGTCGGAAAGTTAGGAGCTTACTGATACAGTGCAAGGATCAGTAGGCTGGTTCTAATCTGGGACCGCAGGGTCAGTGCGAGAAGGTGGGATTTCTTTAAGTGATTGAAGACCTGGAAAGGAGCATAAGTAAATTCTCTCCGAAACGTACTGGCAAGGTTCTTGTTAATATTCTAGGAGCACCTGCCTTGTAACTAAATTTGTTCCTCAGATGTTCAAATGGACAGGTCATTTATTTTGACCCCCGCCAAAGGCCCTGTCTCCTTAAAAAAAAGATATATTTGTATGACTGGTTAGTACATGCAGAGCTCTCTTTAACAAGCTTTCGCTGTTGAGGGATTTGACACCTCTGTTACCAACCGCTATATTTACTGTTTCTCACTCATGTGTCAACATTGAACTCACAGCCAGCACACTGGTAACTCAGGCCTGAACAAACCTGATCTCTCACTTGTCCACAGTGGACATCCAGGGTCTTCCTCTCTTCAGGAGCGCTAGAGTGCCTGGGAACCATTTTAACAAGGAAAATGTCCAGTAACAATTCAGAACAATGGGGCGCTAAAAGGAGTTTGGAAAGGACTGGAATAAAACCAATCTCATGAAGAACAAAGAAAAATTACATTTATTTGAGGCTTATTAGGACTGCAATATAAAAAACAACAAATTTAAATAGCCTAGAAAATATGCTTTGAGGTTTTATAAAATGTTAGCTTTTATTTTGCTTTGGCTTTGGGAGGGCTCCACTGGAGGTTGAGCCCAAGGGCTCCTGCATTGCTAGGCAGGATCTCCATCAGTTGGTTACATCCCCAGTCCTTTTTATTTTTTTAAGTTTTTTTTTTTTACCCCAGTCCTTTTTATTTTGAGACACAGTCTGCTAAACTGGCAAAACTAACTTCCAACTGCCTCAGCTTCCTGAGTAGCTGGGATTCCGGTTGTGGGCCACTGTGCCCAGTTGATGGCTGTTTTTATAATTTAAACTTAAAGGGATATTGTTAATTACAGGGCTTATTTGTCAGAAATTGTTACTGATGGGGCAGAAGATATAAGAAAGGAGTCAGGCACAGCTCCTAGGTGGGTAGGGGAGGTAAGGGAAGGCAATTTTATAAACTGTTACAAAGACTAGTGAATTACATCCTCTCAAAAAAATTGTGCTTGGCTCCAGTTTACCAAGATAGCATGTACTGGGATGGGCAGATAGTTCAGTGCAAAAGTTCATCGGTGCCTTGCTGGAAGACTGGTTTAATGAGGCCTCCCTGTTCTACTTGAAGTGCCAGGAACCAGTGGTACAGGGCTTTGATTTTCTTCCCTGACTACAGGATGAAAGCTGACACAAGAAGCCTGGGCATGTGAATCCCACTTAACTCACAAAGTTTGCGGCAGTGTGGGTGTACACTAGGAATCACTCACTCGGGGGCTGTGGGGAGTACTGCATTCAGGGCTAGAAATCAGTCTTAGCAAGAAGAACAGGGAATGTGTAATTTTTCAGTCATGACTTGCTGTGTTAATAGCTGTAACTCCCCCTAAAAATTAAAATGTTCCATAAGTTGAAAAATCTAGACAAGTATAAATGAAATGAAAAGATCAAATACTAAGTAAAATAGCAACATTTCTGATAAAGAAACATGTAATTTTCTTAATCTACAGGGCATGTTTCAGTCAGTGTTATTAAAAAGCCCAACATTCTGTGCTTGGCTACCACATGGATGGGTTTGGAGGGTGTGATACTTAGTGAAAAATAAACCAGCCACAGGAAAACAAAGACAGCTGGATTTCTCTTAACTGTAAGAGTGCAAGACAAACAAAAACAAACAGCAGGGGCTGGAGAGATGGCTCAGTGGTCTAAAGTGCCTACTTAGAACAAGCTTAGCAAAGCACAGAGACCGCGGTTCGATCCCCCAGCACCACATGCCAGCCAGCCCC